CGTTTATTGTATAAATATGTAGATATGTGTGTTAACTTATGTTCGTAATTTTATGCAAAACATATTTTGGTTTTTTTGCTATGTCCACAAATTAAATTAGAAGTTTTGGAGGAAAAGAGACAATAAAGTTTAAAGGTAAAGTACTGAAAAACCTATTAAATTTATAATGGTTAAAGTGATTAAAATATATTTTTTATATTTATTTTTTCATGGATACACTAAACTGTGGTCGTTTAAGTTTCTCTATTTATGTCTAGCAATTTTTCCTCTTTGTTTTTGACGTGTTTGGAAAATTTTTTATATTTTTAGTACTCAATCTACTATAAAAAGTTGTAACTATCTGTTTCTAATTTAAATCCATCTAATATGGATTTTCTATAATCTATGCTATGAATTTTAAAAAATAAAATAAAGTCATCTAATTTCTTATTATTTATATGCAATAAAGAAAATTGAAATTTTTGATATTTAAAAAAAAACATATAGAGAGTTCAAACTTCATTAATCTAAAATAATAAAAATTATGATAAATGACATGTTTAGATTATGATATTGTCAATATGATTTCGTTGTCATACAATCACACAATTTTTTTTTAGAAGAATACATATCCAAAAGTAAAAATCAAGATTTATTTAAAAATTGAAAAAGTTTTTTGACTTTTAACAAACATGTTAATGTTGGAAAGATGATTCCTAATGATGTGAATGAATGGTATATCGATGATTATGATTAAGAGATAGTTATATAGTTTTATATTAAAACTAATTATAGGAGCGAAATTTTTTAACTAAACATAAGTGTTATTGTTCACATATGATTTCACTAAATATATATAAAAAGTATTATAATCTTTTATTCAATAAGGTTTTATTGAATCTTTCCCAAAAAATAATTTGATTAGAAATCGTCTAAACAAATTTTAAAAGTAAAAATCTTAAAAAAAAACTATAGCATATGATTTTTAAAATATATATAGGAAAATCCTAGAAAATTTCAACTCAGTAAAATATGTTTGATGAGAATTATTGGTCAAATTTAAGAAAACTTCATGCTATTAGTTTCTAATGATGTCCACGTAGGATTTTAAATGACCAATAAATTCTCAACCACATTAACATTTAGAATTAAGTTAATTTTCTTTTCTTTGTTAGTAGAAAATTCCAATTTAAAGCATTTAGTATAAGTTATTTTTGTTGTTAACTGAAAAATCTTCTTTTCTTAACGTTTGATTTGTTATATTTTAACAAAATTTTCCATTTAATTGAAGTTACAAGCAAATTGGATTACTTGACAATCTTTACATCAATAATTGTCAAATTTTATTAGTAAGAACAAAAGTTGAAGCTACTTAATGCTAAGGTCCACATAGAATTTTAAAAACCAACAACTATTGTCCATGTCAACATATAAAATTATGTTAACTTTTTTTTTTGTTTATAGAGAACTTATATAAAGAATTTAGTACAAGTTAATTTTCTCTTTTTAATACGAAATTTCTGTTTTTAAAGTTCATTTTGTTCTATTTTTACAAACGTTTCCATCTAATTTTTAAAAGGGTAAAATGAAACATATGGATAATTGGATATTAAAGCTACAAGCAAATTGAAAACATTGAATTTGATTTGATGATCTTAACAATAAATATCGTCAAATTTTATTATTAAATTTATTTTCTTTTATGCTATTGGCATCCTAGAATACAAGTTTGATAACAAATTTAATGGCTTGAAGCTAAAGGTAGAGGATAAGAGAAGAGTTAAAAATTTGCTAATATGGTTAAAGAAGATAATAGGTGGATGAGCAAACATGTTATACTACAAATGGTATAATTTTGTTGTCGTAAGAAAGATAAAATAATAGAATTTGTTCTACATTGATTGATTGGTGTCTACAATGTGCTTTAATATTTAGTTCTAGTGAGATAAAATTAACCAGAAATCAATAGATTTAGTCTAGCATACCTTGGTATTTGAATTAGAGACTCAATGGATTGTTGCCAAAGGAAAAAAGGATAATGAGAGGTAATTTAGAGTTTGAGAGTAAAACAGAGAGTATAATCTACTTAAAAATCAATCGGACCACGTGCTAGAAAGGCTTTGTGTGTGGTTATATCATCAAAGTGTATGTGAAACACTAATAATCATCAAAAACTTTCCAAGTTGAAACGTCTTTGATGGATTTTGGACATATGATGGAAGTTGCAAATATTCAACAAAGCAATCTTCTATAAAAAGACAAATTCAAGTATTTATCAGTCTGGATTGAAACTCCACAAATTTAAAGTAATTAAATTGGATTCTTCTAATACTTTTAAATTTTACAGTCGATTATATCTATAAACATGTTTGACAAACTGTTTTTGAAGAATTGCAAAATTAGTTAAATGTGGAACGGTTATATAATCATCAATTAATTTTAAACCTATAAAGCTACAAATGATCTCAATCGACTTTGGTCTAGGGAATACATTGAGAGGAGAATGTTTATAGCGTGGATGAAAAAAACAGAGAATCTGAAGATGTCTACCAACTAACTTCAATAAAGTGTGGACTGAACATATACAAATTACCGATACAAATTCGTAAATTAATTATCTAATTCTCTATGATTGCTTCATTTTCTTACCACTATATTTTTGCATCCGTATATGTCAATATCTGCTAATCTAAAAAATTAAAAATCCAAATTTATATTAAACTCATCGATAAAACAAACCCATGCATAGCGTGGGTATAAAACCTAGTAGTTTTCCTTGAAAGTTCCTTAAAATCCTCTTTGGATGACACCTAGGATTTTCACTTAGTGTCTCCTCTATTAATATATAGAGGAT